AGACCCTCAGCCTGCTCCCCCAGCATGCAACAGCATAGAGGATCGCACTGGCCACAACAGACTCATAGAAAATCCTGAGCATTTTCTGGCAGATGTTTTTAGCCCAGTCCAGTTTATTGTCAATGTGTACTCCAAGGTATTTATAGTCCTCCACAATGTCAACACTGACCCCCTGGATTGAAAAAGGGGTCAAGTGTTTCCTGGTCTTCTTCTTCTCCACAATCTATTCCACTAAAGTCCACTAAAAATACAAACAAATATGGAAATAAGTAATGTAAAGATCAGGATATGCACTCAAAATGCTTTCCAATGGGTCTACACCATGTGGGTGTAGACTTACTAAAGTAAGTCAGATGAAAGGCTTTAACTGTACAATAACTTAATGATACACCAAAACACCATAAACTATAATCATATGATATACTCAAACCCTGTGTGTTACATTTCCAGATTTTCTAAACAGGTCGGATAATACTGGCAGCTTACACTGAAATCATGTCCTTTCCTTCTCTCACCCTAACAGTCGTAGCAGATGGTCGCCCCTCCCTGAGCCTGGTTCTGCTGGAGGTTTCTTCCTGTTAATAGGCAGTTTTTCCTTCCTACTGTCGCCAACGTGCTTGCTCATAGGGGGGTCATATGATTGTTGGGTTTTTCTCTGTATGTATTATTGTAGGATCTACCTTACAATATAAAGCACCTTAAGGCGACTGTCGTTGTTATTTGGCGCTATATATATAAAATTGAATTCAATTAAATCATGTCATTTTTCAACACTGTTGTAATGGAAGCCAGGGCTTCATTTGGTTTCTTAGTGTCTGCATGAAAGAAACACAGTAACACAAATAGTTACAGTTACAGTTCATACATTCACTATGCACCGTATTGGGTGCACAATTGGTTGGATTCTCTTTTGCTTTTAGAACTTAAAAGGCTGTGGCACTTGCTCAACAGTACAAAGGGGAAACATCTCCCACACCATTGTAAGACCACTAGGCTGAACCGTTGATAGAAGGCAGATGAAATCTATTTTCTTCATGTTGTTTAAGTCAAATTCTGACCCGACCATCTGAATGAGGCAGCAGAAACTGAGACCCATCACATCGAACAATATTTTTCCAATCTTCTATGATCCATTGGTAGTGATATTATGTGAAATGTAGCCTCAGTTTCCTTTTCCACTAGTACTCCACTGTGGTCCTGTGCTGTTTTAACTGTGTTACGACTGCTGTCGTAACTTTATCTAAAATACAAATCTCAGTGTGCAGGTGCTTCTCCTTAATTGGTGGATCCAGAGGACGGACCATACGGATTGGCTAACTAGCTGGAGATGACTTATACGATAAAACTGCTATTTATCCATCCTCCGCTCATACCACGCTAACCCCCATGGCTAT